TGCACCACTGTTTATATTTTATAATTCTTAATCCACGCCCGATTGCAATCTTCAATTTATCTTAAATTTATTGTCACCAATGTCGTAATGTGTTAATTGATAATAAATTATCTCCAACTATTATAATTATAAATAACAAATATTTGTTCACAAAAAATTTAAAATGTTATGACATAAAATTTTGTTATCCTCGGATGGCAAGGTTTTCTTAATCGCCACATCACTCTCTGCTCAGTCTCGACGTCGAACCTCTTCAAAGGTGATCGGAAACACGTTGTATTTAATTATGTGAAAACCAAATATATATGTGAGTTGTAGATATGGAGTTAAATTGTACTACTGCTGACTACCTTGCTGTGACCCGTTGTTTTAGCGTACTGGATATGTAAGCCGGTGGAATACCAATGGTCAGAGCGAGTTATTGTGCCTGCGATGACCCGAAGTTTGGTAAATCAAAATATGTACACAAACGGAAGTCCAGTAGTCCGGGCTGGAAAATGTGATTGTCCAAAACGACCCAAAATCTGGGCATACTTGGTGAGGAGGCCGACGGATGAACAGTGGTCAGATTAAAAAAATATGCTAGTAATTACCATAAGTTTCCGTAAATGCAATGACTAATCTAATTATATTTTATATATAGAAAATGTCATGACATAAAATTTTGTTATTCTCGGATTTCAAGGCTGACTTAAAAATCCCATATAAGACCACGTTTTAGTTATTCCACATCGCCTGTTCATAGTCGTACACTACTATTTCATTAGTGTTATTTATAATTTAGCTCGATCCTCGTGGATTACACTTGGCTCTTAACGAAACGACTCTAATCTCTTGTTTCCATATGTACTTATATGCTCGGTTGGAGTTTATAGCAAAGTACACAATACAAAGGGATGAAATTACATCCCTTTCTACATGCACCAGATATGACTTGTATAGTTCTGAGGTATTACACAAAATGAAATGATTCCTTGTTAGAATTGAATAAAATTTTATGATTTCAAATTGAACATTACGAAAAATACACGAAACAAAACAAAACCATACAATATTATGAGTATATAGAACTGGGTAGGTACTTACATTTCATACTAAAAATTCATAAAAAATTGCTCGCACAAAATCCACGACGTGTACGATAGGGAAGAAACGAATATTTATATTTTCTCGGCCTTGGAAATATAACCTACATAAGAAAGCGTACTATAGGGCTATATTTGGCTTCGTATCCAGGGGTTTTGAAAACAATACTTTTTTAATATTAATTATTTTATATTAGATAATTAATGAATTTGGAAACATATTTTTAACATTTCGTAGGGTAAGTTATTTAATCGTCCAAAAATCGAAATTGAAACTTTTCACGTTTTGAAGGTTTCTGAACATTTTGGCATAGCTCAGAAAAAAATGAAGTTATATGTGTGTATGTATGTATGAATACAATTTTTTGTCCAAGTTTTCGGACGCACCGATCAACCGATTGGAATGATTCAAAAAACATTCGATTCCTATTGATAAGAAAATGTGCTGATTAGTTTTTGGCAAAGGCAGTTCCAGCAGTTACGGAAATAAAGAGCAAAGAGTGCAGAAAATATATGTGTATGTATGTATGGATACAATTGTTTGTCCAAGTATTCGGGCGCACCGATCAACCGATTGGAATGATTCAAAAAACATTCGATTCCTATTGTGCTGATGTGTGCTAAATGTGCTGATTAGTTTTTGGCAAAGGCAGGTCCAGCAGTTACGAAAATAAAGAGCAAAGAGTGCAGAAAATAGAAATCGAGTTTTTGAGAGAACGGAGCATCCGATTTGAATGATCTAAAAATCATTCAATTAGTAATGATTGAGAGTAGTGTTAATTAGTTTTTGGCAGAGGCAGGCCCGGCCATTTCAAATATACAGAGCTAAATATGCAAAAAATGGCAGTTTTAAATGATTCAAAGAAGTTTCCGCTTGTTTTACCAAAATAATTGATTTTGGAAAAAAAAATTGTTTATCGAAAATAATTCAAATTTTATTTTTAATTCTGACTATAGTTCTAGTATACTTTAAACAAATCATTTCAACTTCGCAATTCAGTTTATACAATTCTTATAAATATTAAACAATGTTACAATCTATTTGAAAACATTTAATATTCCTCGAACATTTCGTTACGGTACGGGAAGTTCCAGCAATTTGCCTTAAGGCACGATGCCAAACAACCCACTAGTTAAAAATTTTAATTGAAAGTAAAACAACTAATAAATTTAGAAATATAGTTTAATTTTTCTATGAAAACTTTCATAAACATAACATTGGCTAAAATTATATATATGTTCTCATTTTTGATTCAAGCAACAAATACAACGTTGTTAAAATGAAAAAAAAAACAATAAATATAAACATGTAATATAAGTTATTTCATGTAGCTCCATTATTCTCGTACTATGTTCAAATATAAATTTTCAAGAAAAGCCTGAAAATTCGTATTTAATTAAAATTACATTCGACGTAAAATAGTGCTCCATTATGAAGAACATGTTATTTTGTATTTACATCCATAGCATTTTATATTATTTTGTATTTTTGCGTTTGCATTAATGCTGTGTTCCACGAAATTCAAATTAAAAATGAAACAAACATCAAACAAAAAATTTACAACATGTGATATAAAACTTTACGCTGAAAATTAATAAAGTAAATATTTTTTCATTTGATTATAGCAATGATTTTTTCTCAGAATATGTTATTCCGAGAACAGCAAAATAATTTCCTTTTCAGTTCAGAAGGAATTTATCAATTTGTATAATTGCTTTTAAAATTCTAATTTATTCGTTCGCATCTATCTTTTATAGACGTTTTAATCCGGAATCGAAATAAATTGGAAACCATTAATTCAACCGATCACAATTATTGATGATTGCTCGAATCAATTTGCTTAAATTCAGATGAAATTTACATAAAGGGATGAAAGGATAGAAAAAAATCGGATTCGAATTTATCGCTTTATACAATATAAATTAGTTTAGATGGTTCTGCATCCATGTGAATGAAGAAAATAAAATGTTCTAAATTTCTTTAGTATGAGGAAAATTTTAAAAAAAGTAATAAGTGATTCATAATTTTTGCTGCGAAGATAGAGAAATCTAAGACTTAGGTTTGAAATCAAATTAAAAAAAAAATCTCATAATTCATTTATTATTTATTAACAAAATATCAATGTCTCACAATAATATTTTTCTGCTCTCTCATACGAAATTAAATATCATCTTGCCACGTGTCAAATAAGATATTATTGTTCTGTTTTTCTGAAAATCTTGTCTGAACTCTCTAGAAATGCTAAATTAGGAATGTCCCAAGTGTACCGAATGCTTATTATTAATTCAGATAATATAGAATATGAATAGAATGTCTAACAAGTATAAAAGTTTATTTTTAACGCACAAGTACACAAATTGTCATTTTTTATTTGATGTGTTGACGTTATAATTTTTTATTTACATCGTGAATTCTCATAGTTATGTATTTTTGTAAAAAGTTTATATCGGAGAAGATTAATCAGAAAAATAGAGACATATAAATAAATAAATAAATGAAATACGCATAAGGTACGCAGTTCGACATTGATAGCCAATAACGAATCAGTATTTGTGTCGTAACGCATTACCGTTGCATTTTCGCTAGTCTCGCCTAAAAAAGTGTTACTTCAAAAATGAATACACATTAAGCAAATACAAATAAGATTTGATAGTTTAATTTGTAAATATATTCTGATAGAGGTTTTTTACTTAATTAATTTCTCGTAGGGTAAGTAATGAGCCTACAACCGAGAATAAAAGTTTTTGCATATCTCCAAGTTTCAAAGGTTTCTGAACAGTTTGACATATTTTATAAGAAATGGTGTGTGCATGTGTATGTTTCAAAAAAAAATTCTTTGAGTATCGAAAAATATTCGGATTTTCATTCTAATTTCAGCTAAAATTCTAAACATCACTTATATATTTCAAATAAATCATTTCAACTTTGCAATTCAGTTTATATAATACTTAGAAATTTCAAAGATGTTCTTCATTTTAAATCCGATTGATTAAGTTTTGTTTGTTTATTTCTTGTAAAATAAAAATAATGAGAGCCACATAACTTATAATAATCTATTAGAAAACATTTAATATTCCTGGAATATCTCATTAAGGTACGGAAAGTTCCAGCAATTTGCCTTAAGGCACGATGCCATACATCATTAGTTTATAATGTTTTGAGTAGTGAAACAAATATTGTAAGATGTCCCTTAATGCAAGTTAATATTTTGGCACATCATAATTCACACTTTTCCTTGAAATCAGACCTTTCGTAAATGTTTTATATATTTCAAAAAATGTTTGCACAAAATTTCTTCTGGTTGTGTACTAAAAAAACGAAAAGATTTCGAAATTGTTTGTCTCGTGAAACAATGTTGAAAACAGGTGAAGCTGACTGAGCGACGTGTGTAGTTACATACAAAACAAAGCAAAAATATTATTTGCCGCGAACTTTAGCGTTAAAACGTCACATCAATCTTGGTAAAGAGTGACGTCGCAATTTTACTGCTGCAGTACGAAAATTCCAAACAGGTACCAACACATACTGCTGCTGTTGTTATTTTTGAGGGGCACTATTCGGTTTTTTGTCTGAAATTGTTCTATATTGTAAAATGTTACACTTCTATAATTGAAAAATGATATCACCAATACCATCAGAACAATAAATTTTTTTTTCAATTTAAGAAATAAAATGTAAAATAACGAGTCTCTTTTGGCTTTATAAAATTTATGATTAAAAAATAACCCCCTTAGATTTGAACCAATGGTTACATTTTATTTTTTCATAATTTGTACTTGAATAAGACCTATGTCACCGCTACTTGGCATCAGGTTGTTGTTCGTAGCAAATATTGAACCAGAAAATTCTGATTCGGAGGCCAGAGTTTCAGCCACTAGGTCACGGAAAAACTCTTTATTCTATATTATTCTTACCTGTTAAAAGCTCCATATTGTTGAGCCAAAAGTTGCATTTGTAAATTTGCCATGGTCGAATTTTCTGCATAGTGATAGTATCGGCGTAATTCATTCGATTCCAGGCTGTTCTTTCCCTGTAATAATATGAAAATGATTTTTAAAGTTGATTTTAAATAAACAAATGCAACTTCAAATGCATTTAGTGGGCATATTTATATTTATTTTTTTATTTCATTTCTTATACAATACTGAATGAGGCATAGTTTACAGTTTTTATATTTTTTTAGTTTATTACGATAACCTTAAATTCTCGGAAAAATAAAATATCGTACCAAGTAGCCATTTATCAGACTAACAATTCCAAATTGTCTCCAAAACCTTCATTTCGTAATAGTCATTTTAGTAATCAAATAATTTCTAATTCGCTTATTTTCAAGAAATGTTTTTCACTAGATTTGGATTCATATTTTAACTACTTATGTAAAATGTTGAATTTCACATAATAAAATATTATTACAATTTTGTTATACTTTGATCCAAAGTTAAAATATATACATTAACTTTGAATTGTCATCCTTCTTCTACAAATCCCGATTCTATAATAGGGATTTTTGTATTCTAATAATTTTTCACGCCGTTTTCAGTAAGTGAATGTTTTTGTCTGAACTTTTATTCGGATTTTCTTTTGCTTATGGAAGAGCTTGAATTTTACTTCAAAAGACTATTTATTTTTATTAACTCTATTTGGTGCAACATCTTCAAAATATTTGGCGACAAAATGGTTACCATCAATAAAACTAGGTGCATCAAATTATCGATCGATTTTTGCAAATCACTTGCAGAAAAATCCTATCGTATAAATATTTGTTTGTGTCTACAAGAAGTACATAGTTTCTCAACATCTTGGAAATCGAGCAGTTTTCATTAAAAAATAATGTGGAAATGTTTTATTAAAATCTGAAGATAGACGAAAATTGAAAATTTTTCCAGAATTTTTGAAATCTCACTCGATTTGCTAAGCATCCCACAATATGAGTTAAAATTAAATGTTAGTCTTTTCCTGCATAATTGAAAAATTAATAAATTTATCAAATGCACAGTAATAATAAATCAAAATCTTGAACATTACAATGTGTCCATTAAATCAAACCAATTTCAAATTAGACTGCCACAATTCTATATTATTTTAATTTCTGGCACATCTCAGCTGCTTTTCTGTAATAATATTGTCACACTACATTTTTTCTCAATCATAATCATGAATATATTATATTCTATTATTGCCAATTTGTAAATTTTTTGTAATTTTATCAAGGATTATTTTGAAACAAAAGTACAATGTTTATAGAGCATCTCGCAAAGTATTTAAGATTTTTATTATTTTTTTTACAAAATTTTCATATAAATATTATCCATAGTTTCTATTTTTTCTCGTAGTATTCCTATTACTACTGTTATATAGTTACAAGAAATATTCTGGAAATATTGTTAAGGCTCATAATTTATCCTAAATTTCAAGTGAATTGACATTTCTGGCAAATGACAGTTCTCATTTGTCAAAAAATTTCCTATGTCAAACAATGATGTGATATGTGTTTTTTGCATTTTTTCCGTTTATTCCCACAATATTACTGAAGTTTTATAATTCATCACATTTTCAAAACATCCCTTAACAAACTCCTAAAAGATTTATCAAAATTCGAATAACCGTTTAGGAGGAGTTTAAATTCATACATCCGTACAGAGGAATTTTATGTATAACTTATCAAATACGCTTTAACTAAAAATGACAAGTTATATATAAAATTTACCACATCTCAATGCATAGTCTGTCATTGTTCATAAAGCGTTCCCATCATCAGTAGAGAAATATTTATCGCCCAAGTGCATAATATGAAACAAAGTCCTTTGACGGATATGTTATTATCAATTAATTAACAGTCTCTAAGCATTCTGAATTAATTAGATGGGTTGCAGAATCTTAAACGCCCTTCACCGACACTAATTGAGACGTTAAGGGCGTGTTAACCCACTAAACAAGGAATCAAAGAGCAAAGTTTCGACTACAAGTCGGTTATAATAGTTTAATATCTAATTAAGATTTTGGTAACAAGCTCTTTGTGATGCAATATAACGTTTGTAGTTATTTATTGAAGTGTTTATTAAATTGTTATATGGAAATATTTAGTGAGCGCAGTGCAATTTAATTTATCGCTAATTAAAACTGCAGCAACGAGATCATAATGCTTTGGCGCCAGAAATTTATTTGTGTGCAAATTTGTAAATTTTGAGAAACTAGATCATTTATAAGCGGAAATATTAAGTTTATATAGTATTTCACAAATTATTTTATATTTTCAATATTTTTTTACAAAATTTTAAAAAAAATATTTCCCATCTACTTTTTTGTTCCTATTACTGCTAAAATAGTTACAAGAGATATCCAGGAGATTTTCCGTCTATAATACATTCAGTAATTTCAATTAGTTAAAACTTGTTTCATAATACCTTTTCCACGAAACGAATTACGGAAACAAATGAGAAAACTGGTGAACTGAAAAATTACTTAGGATTTTCTACTTAGTGTTACTATAGCAGGTAGAATCCATTTTATTTAATGATTAATTAAAATGTATTAGTATAAAAGTTTTTTATATAGAATGTGAAAAATATTTTTAAATTTCTAAAAATTTTTTTCCAACATATATAAAGTTAGATTATAAATAAATTTGATTATTATCGTGATACAATAATTTTTGTATTAACTTTTGTTAGGGTATTTATTATAGTAATCGCCCAAAAATTGAAAATGAAAATTTATGCATATTTTTGCATTACAGAGATTTCTGAACATTTTGGCATACCTTAGAAAAAATAGATTTGTGTGTGTGTGTAATATATGTAGTTTGTATTAATGTGTATTGATACAATTTTTCGTTGTTTTCGTGAACACGTGTCAACCGACTTGGATTATTAAAAAATCATTCGATTTCTATTTGCAGATAGGAGACATGCAGATAAGTTTTTGGCTAAAGTTGGTCCAGCCGTTTCGAAGATACGAAGCAAAGAGTGCAAAAAATAATAATCGAGTTTTTGAGAATATGAAACAACCGATTTGAATGATTCTAAAAGCATTCCAATCGTAATGATGATAAGAAGTGGTGATTCGATGTTGGTAAAGGCAGGACCAGCCGTTTCGTAGAAACTGAGCTGAATGTGCAAAAAGTTGCAGTTTATTTAGAGAACGGAGCATCTGATTTAAATGATTCAAAAAACCTTTTAGTTGTATTGACAAAACGATTATTTTTGGAAAGAGCAATTTTTGTTTGAAAATTATTTTTTTGTTGAACATCTAAAACAATTCGGTTTTTAAATTTAATTTTAGCTAAAATTCAAAAGCGCACTTCTAAACATGAGATAAATAATTTAGATTTTTCAATGTGATTTATATGATTTTTATAAATATTAGACAATTTCCTTTATTAACTTCCCGAAGGAGATAAATCATTTATAAAAAAAAAAAAAAAAGAATGAGAATTATCATTTCTCAGTTTTGTGCGACGATCGGCCGAGCCGTTTCTTTGTAATTTGGTAAAAAGTGTTAACCTTTTCGTCCACATTCAAGCTCATACTACCGAACCGATTTGAAAAAATCAAAAACTGTTCGAAAAATATTAGTTAGGAATGATACTGATCAGTTTTGAGTAAAAATCTACCGAGCCCTTTTTTTGTAATTAACTGTTGAAAAAAAAATTTAAGCCGATTTTAATGGAACTTTTTTTGGAACTTATAGATCTTACTGAAATATTATGGCCTTACGACAAGTAGTTTAATTTTAAAAATTCATCAAAGTTTGAGAAAATGAGTAGTTCTATTGGCATTTGTTAAAATTAAAATTAGACAAATAAACATACTGAATAATTAAAGTCCTACAAAAAACAGGCTCAATTATAAAAATTATTGATTTTTGAAAATTTGCTTTTAGAAAATACTTCGAGTTAACGTGTTCGTTCATTCGTTTGCAGTGATGTGTAATAAATCCACTCGGAATACTTATAATCACTCATAAATTAATTCATTTTTTATTGATTAAGTCGATTATTTACACATTTCGGGAAGTGCATGTAACTTGCCTCAAAGCAAAATACCAATACCAACTAGTTTGAAATCCGAGTCATTAAGTATTGTTGATTTACTTTTCTGTAAACATATATAAACGTCATCATACATTTTATAATGTCTTATATTTTGTCTATAAAAAACGAATAATGAAAGTTTCAGTATTTATAAATCTGTTTGAAAATATTTAATGTTATTCCATTATTTCATTACGGAACGGGAAATTCGTGCAATTTGCCTTATGACACGTCACTAGTCTCTTACTACCGAGCCATTCCGCTAAATAACACATAAATCGGATGATAAATTCGTGTGTGTGGAAAAAACTTGGCCTACACAAGTTCTACAACTAGATGGGAAGGAAAGGAAATCGTTCAACGTGACTTGACGTGACATAAGTTCTACGCGTCACCGTCACCGTCACCGAGAGAGAGAGAGAGTCGTCGAGCAGATTGGCGTGTGTCGATAAGACGACACGGCAATTTGTCATCGACGGTTGTTACAGAACAAACGTACCAGTTACATCAGATTGGTCGATAGACGTTGGCAAATTGGACAGGAATTTATTTAACAGGAAAAATATAGCTCTGTTCATATTATAAACAACAGTAGTGGTGAATGGCATTGTGCCTTAAGGCTATTTTCTGAAACTTTTCGTACCTTCATTAAACATACGAGCAATAAAAATAACTAGTGGAGCGCATGGCATCGTGCCTTAAAGCAAATTGCTGGAACTTCCCATACCAAATTTTTTTTAAAAAAAAGATTAACAATTTTGGAAAAAAAATGTATCTGAAGAAATTAGATTTTTGAGAAACTATAAATTTTTGACAAAAATTTACTATTATTGAAAGTTTAGAACTTTTTTTTAAAGCGTACTGCTTTAACTGCATAGAAAAAAATATCGAAACGCGTAAGCTCCTCGTAGCCGTCTAACGGATGAACATTGGTACGGGATCCATAGAAATGTGAACAAAATTTATACTTATTGTTAAAACCTCTATAAAATATCTGA